AACTTTTATAATTTAATAAAATTACTTTCAAAAAAAAGTGAGAAAGATGAAATTTGTTACATTTGACAGACCAAAGGGAGCTTCAGAAGAGAAAGGAGGCAAGGGGAAAGAACTTTTAAACTCTGCAGAGAACCTACTGTAGTATGCATGTCAGGAAAATGCAGGGTCTAAGGAAGGAGGGCAGTGCCTAAGTGAAGGTAGGGCGATACCCAAGGGATGGGAGGGTGGTGCCCAAGTGAAGGTACGGCAGTGTCCAAGAGAAGGGAGTTAGGTGTCCAAGGGAGTGTGATGCCCAACAGAAAGTGGTGCCCTAGGGAGGCGGGCCGTGCCCAAATGAAGGGAGGGCAGTGCCAAATGAATGCAGGTGGTGTTCAAGGGAGGGAGGTGCTCAATGCAAGAGAAGACAGTGTACAAAAGAAGAAAAGGCAGAACCCAGTATGGATATCTGTTCACTACCCCATAAGCAAAACCATTCCCAGGAAACTTGGGAGATATTCAAAAGAGGTTTTCTTCAGTAATAAATCAAAATTACTCATAAAGAATTGTTCTAGGTCTTCCTAAACATAACTTAGGAACAAAGTCACTCCCCCCAAGACAGATTATCTTCAAAAAACTTAATAATATTTCATAATGAATCTTAAGAAGACTTTTAAAAGTTAACATTTACAAAATCTGGTACCCAAAAAAAACAAAGTCTCAAAATGTCTGATATGATAGCTAACAAAAATTACTAGATACAGAAATAATTAAAAAATACCTCAAAATAAAATGAGGAAACATATTGGTTAGTTGAAATTAGCAACAATGCTACAACTGGAGGATAAAAAGTTTGAGGTAATTACTGAACTTCATTCCATATAGTCAACAGAATTAAGATATAGACAATATACAAAAGACTTAAGCTTACTTTCCATAGCATAAAAGTATGGTCTGAAATGGCAAAATTCAGGATACATTGAGCACAACCATAAAGGAAAGCATGCCTTTTACTTCACTGAGTGGGAATAGTTCCACTGAGTAAAGAACAGCTTGCACTGAAACCTTCTACTTAGGATTTGTTTCACTACTTCAACTTGCATTTTTATGATAATAACTCCAGAACAAGAGTTGTGATAGATTAACTCTGGCTCATTAAGTTATAGGGACTGTATCCATTTGATAGTGTATTCAGGACACTATCTACTTGTGGGTTCCATGAAAGACACTGAGTGGATGTGCAGCTAAGTCTGAGCATGTGTAGAAGTGTGTGGACAAACCCTGTACCCAAGAGACTGACTTAGTCCCTGCTGGATAGCCAGCCAATATAGTGCTAGATTACCAGGAAAGATTCCTTTTAGAAAAAAAAAAAAACAAACTAATTTTCTCCTGCATGTCTGCTTGTCTCTCCCAGTAGAATCTTTTGAGTTAAGGAGAAGATGAATTAAGATCACAGAGGTTAAGATACCTGAGGCTCCAGATGTATAAATACCCAGGCCACGTCTTGAGTTACCCAGAAATCTAGCATCCATGGATACAGAAACTATGCTTTGAGTTCTTGGTAAGTGACTCTGAGAACAGGGTGTCAAAGGGTGTCTGTCCACTAACAGAAGATCAGAGACCTAACTCTTAAACCTGGACTTGTGTCTCTTTCCTGGTCAGTACAACTGGAAGAATGGAGACCATCTGTCTGGAATTAGGAAGCAAATGTGAGGAGCTGGCTTCCGAACTCTCCCTTTCTTTCTCTCCCTCCTTTCTTTGCCTCTTCAAAATTTTTAGTGCAGTCCGAAGTGGAAAACCTAGACAATACAGGCATTGTATAGAGGCCAGGTAGAAAGATTGTAGTTTTCAGCTATGAATACAGAAATACAGAGGTCTACATTCAGAAGAATATATTTTAAGTGAATTTTGAGTAGTAAATAATTTTGGTAGGAGTAACATCAGAGGCAGGGACAAAAGCTATAATTGGGTATCAGGGGAAGATAATTTTGCAAGTTTTAGCAGAAGTTAGTGAATTGCTAAAAACAACAACTTCAGAACTAAAAAGTTATGCATGAAGGCCCCACGAGCTACTGCCTACTCTGTACACTCAATAATGTCTAAACTAATGTAGAACAGAATCCCGACATTCCTCTCTGAACTTCAGGAATCCAGAGGAAACAACAATATTGTCATTTCTAAGAACAGGACTTCTCTAGTGCATGTGTGTGGCCTTGTCATTCAGGGGAAAGGCTCTGGCTGCAAGGTCGTTGTTTTGGTTTTACCTAAGCTTCCTAGAATTCCTCATCATGTCCTTGACTAGAACCAGAGAAATTCGATAGATCTCAGCCCCAATGTTGTCATTTTCAACCTCTAGTCACAATCCAAGACAAAAAGAATAACTCATAAGTTTAACTTCTTGGACTGAACGGGTAGTTTCATACTTGTTGGAATGGGAACTGTAACTGAAAAATATGCAGGAAAGGAAGAGGGAAGGTAGATTCGTGAATGAGAGGGAAAGAGATAAAATGATCATATGTCATCCTCCAACATTTTACCTAATGATGAAAATAGTTACACTAAAGCTCTATAAGACATAAAGCATAAACATTCCTCTAGGCTCCTCCATCAACCTTCATGCTTCAGTCAGCAGATCTTCTATTTGATGGCAGCCTCTGGAATTAAACTCAAAATTCTTCCTGTTTCCAATATCAAAGCCTTTCCTTTTTTTTTTTCAGGAATTCTTTGTGATCTACCAGGGAAGTTTTTTGGTCACAGTGAGATGTAGCTCTGTGCATTGTAAAGAATGAATATCAAGGAATTAGTCAGAAGATGAGGAAGCAATAAATAATAAAAGCAATAAAGAAATATAAAGATGAGTATAGTGATAATAAGGATATTTGTAATTAAATTGAAGCTGTATGTGCGCACAACAAAAGCAAACAGGGATTAGGTCAATTGTCAGAAATCATGAGCTTAACAGGTATTTGATTTAAACCTCAAATTCACAGTGAATTATTGAAATAGAAAAGAACAGGCAGAGTTTTTTATGTCTGTGTCATAGGGAAAGCCCCTCAGTTACAAACTCAGACTAGGAGGTGTACTCTCTGGGGAATCTTAAGTGCGCACTCCATTGCTCTCCATCATCCACTCCACTAACCATATTTAAAACTGCCAAAAAGAAGCAGCTAAAATTGGGGTTGGGGTTTGGAGTTAGGAAATGGAAAAATAGGTAGGGAGAATAGGTTTGTCATTTTTTTTATCAAACTTTAAGATATAGCACCTGAACCCAAGCAAAAACAATTTAAAAATTACAAAATGAGTAAATGAATGAAGAAATTGAGACTCATGAACAATGAGCAGGGCAGGGGGAGCCCACATGCTAACAATTGCGGCCGGACATCATAGAAAATACTGAAAAGACAGGTAGAGCGGTAGGAAGGTCGGGAGGTAGGAAGGTAGGTAAGTAGGTAGGAAAGAGATAGGTAGATAGAGAGGTATACATTTATTATGTGTATGCATGTATCTGTGTATCATGGAGTTCAGGGTATCCAGCTTCACTATGACTTTGATTTCTTTCTACTGTACAACAACCAAGAACTACTTATTTCCTAGCATATTCTACTTTTTTAAAGGAACTGCTAATTATATAATAATTTAAGCTTGCTGGTTTGTTTATAAGTGTGTCTCCATCTGACCTTGAACTGGGGTTTCTTCCTCCCTCAGCATCCCAAGTGTTGGGACTAGAGTTATGACCTACTGCCTCTGGCAGTGAGTCGGTCTCTAAGATCAGTGAAACAGGCACATTATCACAGAATCATCTACATCTGATCAGAGACTGCTAACTCCTAGACAGACTTAAGTGCAACTGTTTGATTTGAAAGATCCTGAAATACCAGAACCTGCCAAACTACAGTGCACTTTGAGGCTGTTCTCTGTTTGGAGAAGGAGAAGTATGCTAAATTCTCTGATGTCTGTGCTAGATAAAAACATTATTTACATGTTTTTCTACTGCTTCTCTGCAATGTGAGATTTAGTCTTCTCCAAATAATCCATGTTCAATCTTGGAAGGCATGACTGTGCCAGCATCTCACTCTAGATGCCCATTCTTACTACGGCTCACTAATTTGTTATCGCCATAATCCCACAGGGACTTTCCTACCTTACAAGGAAAGATTGATTTTACTATCTCATAAGAGAGTTTTACTACTTTACAAGGAAAGATAGCATAGTTTTCAATTTTGTGTCCTTAGGTCCTAAGACGTAATCATAAGCAAAAACACTTACATGAGAAGAGACTTATAGCAAAATAGAAGGTGTAAATATTCCTCTGTGTCAGGCAAAGAGAAAATGAACATGTCAGGGATGGAAGGTTTAAATAAGTGAGCTCCATCATCTGCACCACTGCAACCAACCACTCTCCCTTAGTCTAGAAGGTAGGACTCACAAAAACATGGTGCTAAAGAAACAGAGTAGGAGCAACTACTTTATAAGGTACATTCTTAGCAGATAAAAATTTCTTTTGAGACAAAGAATTGACTGTTTTCTCTGTAGAGTTGATAAAAATATATAATGAAAGCAACATATAAACAACTGAAAGGCTATGGGAATTAGATACATATATCTGAGTTCGTTTTTGTGCCAAGCATTTGTTGCAGTAGAGTAGTTAACTGAATGATAATTTACATGGGAATTAAAAAGAAAATGAACCGAAAAATTATATGCAAAACATACAAAGTATCACCTGCATGTAAAAATAATATCCTAAGTCTTTTTCTCAGTCTTAGTTTCTGTAAAAATACACCAAGTCTTTTAAAGATGAAATCGAATGTATAGTCCTCTACATAGTTAAGGTGACAGTAGTATCCCAGTGAAAAGGCACCAGAAACAAGCAGATAAACTCAGTTGATGTGGATAACCTGCTACACTTGTGTCTAACCAAAGCAACTCGCTCTGCCTTCATATATCTACACAGTTAGAATCTAATTATTTAAATCCTAATTTTACAGTTCCCTAAAAGAAATCTGTAGAACTGTATGACAAATATGACAGCACACAAGAACGACACCATCTCTACTGGAGTTTCAGACTTCCTCCTAAATTGTTTTGTCAGGTATCCCAACTGGCAGCTCTGGCTCTCCCTGCCACTCAGTCTGCTCTTCCTCCTAGCCATGGGGGCTAATGCTATTCTCCTGATCACCATTCGAATGGAGGCCTCTCTGCATGAGCCCATGTACTACTTGCTCAGCCTCCTCTCCATGCTGGACATTGTGCTCTGTCTCACTGTCATCCCCAAGGTACTAGCCATCTTCTGGTTTGATCTCAGGCTCATTAGCTTTCCTGCCTGCTTCCTCCAGATGTATATCATGAACAGCTTCCTTGCTATGGAATCTTGCACATTCATGATCATGGCCTTTGATCGCTACATAGCCATCTGTCACCCACTGAGATATCCATCCATCATCACTGACCAATTTGTAGTCAAAGCTGCCACATTTATTTTGGTCAGAAATGTCCTTATCCCTTTGCCCATCCCCATTCTTTCAGCACGACTCCATTACTGTTGGAGAAATATCATTGAGAACTGCATCTGTGCCAACATGTCTGTCTCCCGACTCTCTTGTGATGATGTCACGATCAATCGCATTTATCAGTTTGCTGGAGGCTGGATTCTACTGGGATCTGACCTCATCCTCATCTTCCTCTCCTATACCCTCATACTAAGAGCCGTGCTGAGACTCAAGGCAGAGGGTGCTGTAGCCAAAGCCCTGAGCACATGTGGCTCCCACTTCATCCTCATCCTATTCTTTAGCACCATTCTTTTGGTCTTTATCCTCACACACGTAGCTAAGGGGAAGGTCTCTCCCGAAGTGCCAGTCTTGCTCAATGTCCTCCACCATGTCATCCCTGCAGCCCTTAATCCCATTGTTTATGGGGTGAGAACCCAGGAGATCAAGCAAGGAATCAAGAGACTACTGAAGAAGGGGCCAGCTGCAGCTCTGCATTCTTAGAGCACAATGAGTTGTGTTGATAGAAAGTTGCTGAAGCACTGACTGGGGAAAGGAAGTCTAAAGACTGTTCCTATCTCCACCCTTCCTTTAGAAAACTCAATACCCCTCCACAAAAATTCCATACACAGCTAGGTGCAGTGGTTGCTGCCTTCAATCCCAGCATTTAGGAGGGAGAAGGAGGTGGACTTCTTGAATGCTAGGCTAACCTAATCTACATAGTGAGTTCCAGGACAGGCAGAGCTACACAGTGAAATCCTTTCTCAAATAAATAAAAATTGAACAAACAAACTATCATATATCTCTGTGACTTTTTAAATTTTTCCAATATTTATAATTCTATTTTATCTAAATGCAATAGTGTCCAATGATGTGGATGCTAAGCTAGAAAAATAACCTCCAGCTGCTTCTACATGGGTAGTCTCTGCACATGTACTTTTTGTGGCTGGAGACATAAGTGTTCTCAAGCGAAGCCCATTACCCTCAATAATATGAATGCAATTGTACAGTGAGATGATGAGCAGTGCACAGTATTTCAAGGGTCAGCTCTTAGTGGAGGAAAGTGGCTGGAGCCCAGATGCTAATCTGCTGTTTCTATTCACCCAGTCAACATCTTTCTCCCATTTTCGTCAGTGTTTTCATTCAAAGGTTCTTTGTTGATAGACGATGCTCTCAAAGGCTAGAGCTCCTTGAAGAACTGACATGTAAAGCAGTTCATTCATCTCGTTGGGTTTAGGAGAAGGAGCCATCTCATCAAGCTTCTTCCTTAGTTTCCTCACACTATTGCTGTGCTTGGAACTTCATCTCTGGGATTCACAAAGATCCGTGCTCTCTGTACTGGGTAATGTTTATGTGTTTGACTATATCAGAAGACACTCCGTACTGACTCTTAAATATACTCTAGTCCGTTACTAGTTGGGCAGAACTTTTCCAGTCAGCTTTTTTTTTTAATTCAGAGGTCTTATTGGAGATTAGGTGTACAAAGATGAATGGAAATTCACAATTACTGAGAAGCTTAGATAATATTTAGGCAAAATACAATGGAATCCAGATTCCAGGAATACTGACAAATTATTGACCTGAATCCATTCTTTGGCCAAGAGGTATTTAGGTTGTTTCAAGGTTCTGGCTATGACAAACAAAGCTGCTATGAACATAGTTGAGCACATGTCCTTGTGGCACGATTTAGCATCCTTTGGATATATACCCAAAAGTGGTATAACTGGGTCTTGAGGAAGGTTGTTTCCTAATTTTCTGATAAATAACTACACCGACATCCAAAGGAGTTGTACCACCTTGCATTCCCACCAGCAATGCAGAAGTGTTCCCTTTTCCTCACAACTTAATGTGGTTCACAATTGAGGCAGATTGAGAAGCCAACGTTAAAGGCACTGGGATTTGTCTCTACTGCATGTACTGGCTTTTTAAAATGCTATTCTATTTGGATGCATATTCCTAAGCCTGGATGGAGGGGAGAGGGTCTTGTACTTTCCACAGGGCAGGGTAACCTGCCCTCTTCTAGGAAAGCTGGGAGAGAGGGGAAAGGTGGATGGGGGAGCAGGAGGGAAGTGAGGAGGGGAGGAAGTGGAAATTTTGAATGTTATTATTTAAAAAGTAATAAAAAATTATTAGACAAAAACACTGATCAAGAAAATTTTTTTAAAATGCACTTGTAGTCCTAAGAATCTACAAAACTAATGACCTTCCTGAAACAGTCATCGTTCAAATTGAAGAGCCTTCTCTTCCTTTTCAGTACAGACATGGGCACTTCCTCTGTTGTTTCCTAAATGACAACAGAAAGAGGAAATGGAAACATTTCCAAATATTCACAGATCAAATTCGAGTGTGTTTCAGGAGTGTTTGTATATCCAACTCATTTATGGATCCACTTCCATCCAGCTACTGAAAGCAAGCATATGTTCCTGCTTGATGGAAAAAATCAAGCAACTATTAATGAATATTTCACTTTCTGTTTGCTAAATGCTTTAATGTTATTCTTTTTATGATGGCCATTCTGACTGGAGTGAGAAGGAATATGAAAAATAATCTAGTTTTGTTCTGAGGTGAGATGATGTTACTACTATTTTTGAGATTCTTCAATGGTATTGATTAATAAATATGCTCAATCAAGTCATTCTAACAAAATAATATTTTAAGAATGATAGTCATGTTAGGTGAAGATGCCCATATAATAATAAAGAGTATATTATATGAACTAGATTTTGACCCAATTTTAGGTGTAATTATGTCATATACTCAAAGAGACATAAAATGCACCTATGTCTCGCAGCAGTAGATCTCGAGATCACAGGAAAAAGTTCAATATTGATTTGTTTTATTAACATATAGGATGTAATAACAAATTCTGGCATGAATATGGGGAAGGGAAAACTTATACATTGTTGGTGGGAGGGTAAACTAGAGTACTGCTTTGGAAATCATTCTGAAGATTCCACGAAAATAATGTCACCCTAGAAATAGACCTAACCTATGCAGCTGCACCAGGTATCCTCCATCTGAGCACAGGCTCATATATCCATTTCCATCACTGCTCTAGCCAAAATTCAGTGAGTACAGTGTGATCCTCAAGAAAGAAAGCTCAATATTGATTTGTTTTTTTTTCATATAAAGTGTAACAAAAGTGACCAAACACATTGGGGAATTTTTCTGGTTGTAGACTTGCATGCATTTTCACTAAGGGCATAGAAAGTCAGTATTGTTTGATCTCAGTCATAGGTACCACAGTAGAGAGAGAAGCTCACCAAGATGCTAAACCTTCATAAAAGACTGACACCCAGATACTTCACGCCAGTTACTTTATTCAAACATAAAAAAGGTTAATAGGGGCTAGGAAAGGTTCCAAATACTAAAGTCATCTTGCTCTTGTGAGAGCAGAAAACCCACACAAATCTCACTCCATTTTGACTATGGCTCACCATAATCAAATTAAGAACTCCAGGTCTGTCAGGAGAGTCTTAGGACCAAGGTCAGTGCAGCTGCAAGCTCCCACATAGATGCTACCAAGTGCAGATTCTCTAGAGAGACTATATTTCTTCAAGTTTAAGCAGTCTCAAAACAGTTTCTCACCTCTACTGATTAACTCAAGCACAGCAAAGGGTTTGCTGAAACATTTCACTCATAAATCCACATACAGAGTCTTTACTTTACATGTCAGTACAGGCAGGAACATCTAGCCTGCAGTTTAATTTGGGAGTTTCTTTGAATGAAATTGACATTATTTGTATCAGTCTAGCAACATGATTATCTAAACTCAATATTTCAGAGACAAATCAACTGAGGATCATATTATTAAGTTCTAAAGCAAATATCTACTTAATTTATTTATTTCTGTGAAACTTGGGACTCATGACTTCAATTTTCACTCACTCCCTTAGATCATCAATCATCCTAACCTAAAGTATTGAAAGAATCATTCCTGATTTCCCCAATATGCCCCCATGTCCTTCCAAAAGTGTCCCCAAATCACTATTTTATAAAACATGAGAGCTACTTGGAATGTAAAAATTGAAAACCAGAGAGAAGTTAATAAACTCAAATTCCATGGCTGAGCTATTGGAGGATCAAGACCAGAAACAATCAGAATGAAGAATCTAATGGATCCTTAACTGTTGATTTAGCATATATTCTTAGAGGGGTATGTATATAAACATTGTAATAGTTTTTCTAAAGTTGTATGTTCAAGATGAAAGTAGCAGCAGTATAAATATCATGGTTTTTTTCATTGTAGTATTCACATCAGGCCACTAATAAAATATGTCCAGACTTTCACAAACATTCCACAATGTCCTTCTTGTGCTAACGTGTCCCAGAACTAGTGCTTGAATAGTTTGATAATCCCCTGTTTGATTTCCTGGGTTCGTACTCCATACACAATGGGGTTGAGAGCAGGAGGGATGAGATGATGCAGAACATTAAGAAGGATGGGCACCTCTGAAGGTATCTTCTTTCCTGCCTTGTTTGTGAAGATGAAGACTAGCAGCAGTGTATAGAAGAACAGGATGAGGATGAGATGTGAGCCACAAGTACTCAAGGCCTTGGTGACTGCGCCTCCTGACTGCTGACACATAACAACCCTCAAGATGAAACAGTAAGACAGCAAGATGAGCACCAGATCGGAACCTAGTAAGCACCAGACACTCACAAACTGATAGAGCTTATTTAGGTGAATATCCCCGCAAGAGAGCTTTGCTACAGAAATATTGGCACATATGCAGTTCTCTACCACATTGCTGGAACAGTAATTGAGTCTGGCAGCCAGAACTGGAGTGGGCAGTGTAGCTAGAAGATTCCGAAAAACAATAAAAATGGCTGCATTAATGACAAACTGTTCTGTGATGATGGATGGGTAGCGCAGAGGATGGCAGATGGCTACATAGCGATCATAGGCCATGACCAGAAAGGTAGAGGATTCCATTGGAAGGAAGGTATTCATGATGAACATCTGCAGGAAGCAGCCCACAAAACTGATGGGCTTCATGTTGAACCAGAAGATGAGCAGGACCTGCCAGAATTATTATCATTCTCAAAAATTTGGCGTATTCATTAACATCCTAGATTATCTACTCTTAAGACCTTCATCAGGTACATGGTTAAAACCACCTAAATCCTAAAACCACTGCGATGGCGTCCTAATTTGAAATAATCTCTAAGCCCTTGTTTATCTTAAGCAGTGGTTCTCAACCTCCCTAATGCTGTGACCCTTTAGTACAGTTCCCCATGTTGTGGTAACCCAAGCCACAAAATTATTTGAGTTACTACTTCATGACTGTAATTTTTCTACTATTAAGAATTGTGATGTAAATATCTGATATGAAGGATATCTGATATGCGACCCCTGTGAAAGTGTAGTTTGACCCCCCCAATAGGGCTGAGAACCACAGGTTGAGAACCACTGATCTGCAGAATCTAGTTTATACCTTTTCTATAAATCTAGAGATTAGAATTTATTGTAAAAACATTTGATATCCTTGTCTTCAGTCTAA